GGGGATGGGGCTGCTCTGCCCACCTTAGATAAAGCTAAAGACTAAAAGAAGTGGGATTCTTGGGATTTAGGCTTTCCTCAGCCTGAGGAGGTTCAAACCTGTATCTTGCAACCCAAGAAGAATGTCCAAATAACAAGGCTATGAGGTGAGGGGCAATCTGCATCACTGCTGTTGAAGCAGAGATACTGTGCAGAAAGGTATTCAAAATTCAAGGGGCAGGAATAGTGAGTAAAAGAGAACAAACACCCTTCTTCAGGCAGAGAGTCTGCTGGTGAATTGTGTGCTCTTATGGGTAGAACAGAAGCCAAAATGCAGGTCTGTGAAAATGCAAGTGGGTGACAGTGAGGATCAGAGGGATGGGAGACAATAGGTGTGAGACAGGTGAGGTATAGGGGGAATGTTGAACTGGTGATAGACTGTAGCTGGTAAAATGCAAACAGGTTACCTGGGGTTATCAGATGGCAGGCAGGTTATAATGTGCCATAAATCCAATGTCTATATTTAGTCCATGAATTTTTGTATCCAGTAAATTTATGAAGTTTGTAGTCTTATCTACGAAAGCTGGTTTGTAAATTCAGGATTTACAAAACATCTTTTGTAGATGAGTGTGAATTGGGCAGAACTTCTTTCAAGTTGTCCCCAGTGCCCACAGACCAGTTCTGTTTTGGCAGAGGGAATGGACTAGATGCAGTAATTTCTCTGTTCTAGCTTTATTTTAGATAATTCTCCCTGGTTTTTTGTTTTGTTTTCTTACTGATGAAAGCTACTTTCATCAAAGAATATTGGAAGAATGATGACAGAGAACCTTTCAGTCTGTCTTCATACACATAAAAGTTGTAGACTATACTCAGGCTTGGCAGAATTCGATTTTTATTTTTTTAATAAAGTTGACGGATAATATAGATGTTCATTTTTAAGCATTTGTTAAATTTCTTATCAATTAAAAATTCCAGGATGGTGCAAAATTAGGGGCGTAGGGGGCAGATAATTTATTAATGACAGTATACTATTATTATAGTGCTGTCTAACCACATGCCATGATAAATGTAACTACTGTAGGACTGCCATCAGCTGAGCAGCAGAGATGCCATCAGTCCTGGCTCAACTCATCCATAGCTCCCTTGTCCTCTTTGTCACTTCTTCTTCCTTTGTTCCTAATCCCTTGGGATTTTGGGTGGTTCCAGTCCAAACTACACTCAGCATGGTTCTGTAGGACTGCTCCACCTGTTGTCAAAAACTCCATCGGTCACCATTTTTCTTATGTCTCCTTTCTATAAATTTCAATTATTAATGATGGAAATATTTTTTCATCAGTCTGCAAGCGTGAGGTGAAATCAATGTTTATCAATGTTTACCAGTAAAAATCGAATCCTGCCAAGCCTAACTATATTCAATCGATATTTATGTAGGTGTAAGTAAGGACAGAATATTGTTCTTCCTCTTGTACAGAAGAGTTTAAATGACACCCAAACTCTCAGTCATGAATGAGTTACAGTAATATTGCAATGTATTGTGAAAGCATTTGTATAACAGAAAGACGTAAAATGTTTCTTCATTTTATTTAAACAGTCCTGTTTGTGTTGCTGGTGCCAATCCAAAGATCTACTGTCCCTCGAAGAAAAACAGTCCTGCTTGAAGTTCAAAGCTAATGATCACGGATATGATAATTTCCGCTCCAGTAACAAATACAGCTCATCATAAAAAGTGTGAAAGATTTAGCCTCTGACATTAAGTTCAGTGCCTTTATTTGAATGACAGTTGCTGTTTTTAAGATGCTGAAGCATTTGAAAAACCTAGTTCTGTATTTGCACAAGAAGCAAATCATAAAAAAATGATCATCCCAAACTCTTCATAACATTCATAATTATGCATGGTATCATTAGCCATTTGCAAACGTGATGAATAGCAGCAGAATAACAAGTCATTTTTAAAGCACTTAAACTTTTTGGAGTCAGAACTTCCAAGCCATTCTAACTTCCTGTATATCAAACAATTGTTTTTATCTCCCCCAAGAATCTTAGGAACCGAAGTCAAAATCCTATGAAATAGCAAACTGTGACTTGCTTTAGATCAAAGCCAAAATTGTGTTATTAATATTATTGTATTATCTTTAGCTGATTTAAGCAGTATCTAAATTATTAAAAAATCCAAAGCATTTTGTAGTACAGGGTTAAAGGAAAACATAAGTATTTTTTTATCAGGAATGCTACTCTACTAGCTAGGAACAATATCAGAGGTATTGAGTCAAGTTAAAAATCGTATGTATAGCTGATTTTTTTAAAACTGCTAACGTTAAAATACTGTTATTTAAAGTCACTATATTATCAGTTTCTTTATTTTGCAGCACTATGCTTATATTCCATTTCACTGTTTCCTGTTATTTACATGAGAGTCTTATATACAAAAACAGGGGTGGGGGAAAAGATTTTTAAAAACAGGAAAAATATGATTGTAGATCTATAAAATAAGACACAGTAGGTGAAACTATTTTTTATTGATTTTTTTTTTAAAAATGACAATGTCTATTTTAAATAATGGCCTTTCTGGTAGCTGACAGTAGTACAGCCAAGTTTCTTTTACTAGAGATTACAAGTGAAATTGATTCCTCAAGTTAGAGAAATCAATTTACTTCAAATTGCTGTTTTTCAGATGAAAAGCTATTAAATATAGAGCATATAAAACAAAATGTAGCAGTAAGAAACAGACAATATTCAGTAATATTGGGATTTAGTTCTATTAAGTCTTTAAAGAAAATATTCACACACTGTACTTAAAGAGGACAGTATTGTTAGTGCATAATTCTAGACACTTTTAAAATATGTGCTTCATTACAAGTCTTTTTTTATTGCTTAGGAACATGTGTGATTAGCAGGGATCCTGGTTTTCTGTGATTTATAAAAATGCCCAATTTTTGGACAAAAAAGTAACACAAAATCCACATTTTTCCATGATTAAAATGAAACACCACTAATATATAGAGAGAGAGCTATAGTGGTGTTTAGAAAAATGTGGGTTTTGGGCTCCTTTTTTTAATCCAAAAATTGGGCATTTTTTAATCAGAGAAAACCAGGATCCCTGGTGATTTGTTTTGGCTTCTGTAAATATTTTGGTGAAGCATAATTCATTGTAGAATATTAAAACATGGGCAGGACCCTGTAAAAATATAGATAGATAATGATGCCTGTAGTAAACAGGATGAGTATTGCCAGGAGCAATTCACATTTTGTATATATGTGGCTGGTGGTTTTTTGGCTTTGTTTCTTCAGTTTATGTTCCCAAAGATTTATTAACACTTTTCATGAAGCAAATTATGAAATTTTCCTAGAAATAGAGTTAGAAAACATGTTTTGCTTTTAAGGATATGTGTTTTCAATAGACACAATACTTTACTATAATGGAATATTTCATAACTCAGGAAACTGCTGAACTCCCAAGTTTCATACGTACAAAATCCTCACTTATTTTTCTTAACATTTGTACCTTGTCCACAAAGTGCCTTTGTCTCAGGATAAAATAAGTTTGGGCCAGAACTTCAACTTCTATAAATTGATGTTAGCCCCATTAAAATTAATGGAAATGAGCCTATTTATACAGGGAGGATCTGGTCTCAATATATATATGTGTGTGTGTATTTGTGCACACTTTCTATCTTTAGGTTACTGTTATCATCTTCCTATACACACAAATCTAGCTGATATAATGTTATATACAGCAGCTTGGTGTTAGGGATTCAAATTGTTTTCTGACAATGCCTAAATTGTTAAGTAGAAAAGGCTTTCTTTAATTAAAAATAATTACTTGTCTTTTGCCCGGGAAATCAATAATTTGACTAGTGTACCATGAAGATATTATGAATGTTTCAATATACCATTTATTTGATCAATTTTCATGCTAAGCTGTGAATTAATGCAAATAAAAACCCACTACTATTTCTATGAAATGCCTCTCAAATATTAAAAAAGAACAACTAACAGAATCCTATGTTTGATGCTGGTCAGTGTTATTTTCATATAGTTGTATCATTACACTTTTGTACATGTATATTATTTTTATTTCTATTTAAAATGTAATTGTTTATATTCTCCAATTGTGTACTTTGGGGGGGGGGGGGGGTTTGGGGCTGGGTTTTTGCTAAGGGAGGGGCGTGGGGGGGGGGGGGTGTTCCTGGACTAGATTCTTGCTAAGGCCAGGCCTCTGGGGCTAAGCATTTAGAAGGGTGATTAAAGAGAAGATGGAGATGGGCTTTTCTCTGTGGTTCTAGGGGACAGGACTAGAAGCAATGACCTCAAACTTCAGCAGGGGAAATTTAGATTGGAGATTAGAAAGAACTTTATGACTATGAGGGTGGTCAGGCATTGGAACAGGCTACCTAGAGAAGCTGTGGAATCTCCATACTTGGAAGTTTTCAAGAGCAGTTTAGACAGACACTTGGCTGAGATGGTTTAGTGAGGGATGATCCTGCTTTGAGCACGGAGTTGGACTACATGACCTTGTGAGGTCCCTTCCAGCCTTATTTTCCTATGATCCTATATTGCAGATTACGACAAGAGCGTGTGTAACTCCCTAATTTTTGAAAAACAATATAAACTTCTTGAGGGGTTTGTTTGGATTGTTTTCATGTTTTTTGAAAACAGTGGGAGATTTTCCAGTACTAATATTTTTTTCCTAGAAGCAAAACAAAGCAAACGATCCTGCTGCTTATGTGATTTTAAAAAATAAAGTGGAAAGCACAAGAGATACTGTGTTCTACCCAGAACTGAATCTGAGATACAAAGGGTAAGATTTTCTAAAGTGTTCAATCAGTGTAGGCCTGTTTCTGCTTCCATTAAGGTCAATGAAAATTTAATTTTTGACTCCAGGAATAACAGATTTGGGCCACACTGGGTATGCCTACATGTTCATTAATGCACCTTAGTTACAGCGTATTTAATTTAGTACCTCTAGTAAGAGGTACTAACTAAATGCATAGTAACTAAAGTAACTTCACAGTAGCACCACTGCAGAGTTTTTAGTGATGCTTTACTATGCATTAGCATAATAACACTGCACAGTAAGCTATTAGCACAGTTAATACCTGCTACGCTACCGCTCCCACTTAGAGGTTTTTACTTGGCCACACTAGATATGCCCACTGAGTGGTTTTTAATACTTCAACATGAAATGTGTTATTTATTCAAGTATTACAGGACAGGTAGCAAACAAGTAAATTGTATTCAAGAATGAACATTTGTCTAGAAATGTGATGAGATGAAAAGGGATAAAAGTAGCTCCTGATGTGGAGAACTGCACTGCTTAAGCCTCAACAGGAGATATACAGATGTCAGCTAGGAAAATAAATAGCAGAACTGTCTTACGTATCTGAGAAAGGGTCAGTGAACAAGCCCTGGATATTCTGAGGCTGAAGACCAACATGAGGGTGGTCTGAATGTGCGTGAGCCAGACACATCAGCCCTAGTATCCTGTACAAATAGATTTCAGTTCTGAGTGAATTGCACTGATACATTGTACAAGTCAGAGAAATCAAACGTAAAACTACGTTAACACATAGTATCTGTTACGTGCTATAGGTTTTTCACTAGCCCTCCAGCTTTTGAAGTCATGTACTGCTTATACCAGACACAGATGGCTTAGCAAAGAAATGTTGTATGTACCTAGATGAAAGTGTAAACATTTTTCTTTGTTGTTGTGCATAACTACGTGTTATATATTTTATTTTCTATGGTCACTTACATTAGCAACTTCTGTGGTTGACACAGTGTAAACACACTGAATTACCAATAAAAATGTTTTATTTGCTTCATTTCAAAAAAGGTATTCTCTGATCAATCTTCTTCCAAAGACAGTCATTTATCAGACTGTTTTTTTACTGCAGACAGTGTCAAAGAGATTTAAGTATATCAGCATTAAAAAACAGATATTTAATAAGGTGGGATAGGTTTGTTCCTCTAGATGAAAGCTGACAGAGGTTCAGGTTTGCATATGCATTGCAAAGATTTCTAAGGTTTGTTTGAAAAATCAATCATGTCTGCCTTTGCATTCCTTGTTTTCCTTTTAAAAAGTCAGTATCAGTCTCTACACACCCATAACGGGTAGCATGCTCCCGTGTCACAAGCATAAGAGTCAAAAATCAGAGGAGGAAAGTTGTAATTCGTTATTCTTCATGGGGCTACGCCATCTACAGCACCACTTCCTTTCATATCATGGTAGGGATACTTTCCATATTTTTCCCTATATATAAAGAGCCTAAAATAATGACAGATTAATCAACAACAGGTGTATTCAAAAATGATAATTCTTGTGTTCAGAACTCTTTCATGCCCCCAAATCTATTAATTTTTATTACAAATTACTGCATTTACTTGAATCCAAGACAAAATTTTGTCCCCATTTAGCATGGGGAAAAACAGGTCCTTGTCTTGGATCTCAGTACAAGTTTAGGGGCAGGTGGCTGCTGCAGCTCCAACTCTGGCCTTGACCCAGGCTGAGGGTTGGAGTTGAAGCTGCAGCTGCTTCTCTCTCTCTCACCACCTGGCCCCCAACAGCCTCTGATTTCCTTGCCTGCCTTCCCCACTGTCTCCTTCTCCACTGCTTCTCCCCCACCACCACTGCATACTCTCCATCCAGGCTCCAGCTCCAGACCTGCTCCAACCTGGGGCCCGGAGTGCATGGTTACTACAGCCCCCCCATCCAGCCACACAGCAGTGGTAGTGTCAGGTCTGGCCCCAGCTCCAGCTAGGCCAGGGTTAGGGCCAGAGCTGCCACTGCTGTGTGGCTGAGCAGGGGCCAGAGTGCCCACGTGCTCCATGCCCTTGAAGCAGGGATGGAACCAGGACAGAGGATAAGTGGTGATGTGGGGGAAGGGGAAGGCAGTTAAGGAGGGGAGACATGGGAGTGGCAGGTGCCAGGGGCCACAGGCACAGCAGGAGCAGGCAGGAGGGGGAGCAAGTGGCAGGGAATAAAGTGGGCAAGTGCAGGCCCCATGAGGGAGGCAAGTGGCAGAGGGGGCAAGTACCAGGAGATGCAGGCACTGGGGTGGAAGCAGGCACTAGGTGAGACAAACAGCAGGGAAGCAAGTCATGGTGGGAATAGGTAGCGTGAGACAAGGGATGGAGGACAGGCTGCCTGCCTTCCTGCAGCTGCTTGCCCTCCTGTAGTGGTGGGGAGATTAAATTTGATACAACTCTAGATTGTAAATCCTATACATGGAAAATTATACCAAATATATAAAATGTCCATGTATAAAATCTAATTTTTGCAGGGGGGTCATCTTAATTTCAAAGTCATCGTTTCATAGTTTCTAGGGTCAGAAGGGACCTGAGCAGATCACTGAGTCCAACCCCCTGCCATGGCAGGAAAGAGTACTGGGGTCAAACGACCCCAGCAAGGTGTATATCTAGACTCCTCTTAAAGACCCCCAGGGTAGGAGCCAGCACCACTTCTCTTGGAAGTTGGTTCCAGATCCTAGCCGCCCTGACCGTGAAGTAGCACCTCCTGATACCTAGCCTAAATCTACTCTCTGCCAGCTTGTGACTGTTATTCCTGGTAGTGCATTTTGGATTTGGGTAAATAGGTATTTAGTGCCTCTGTGCTAGAAGTATGACCTGCTCAATCAGTACTGAT